GAGGCCATAACATCTTGGTCTTCATATCTGCATTTGCAGGTTTCCTATACGCATCTCGACCTAATCTGGTCCCCTCTTTGCTAATTAGGACATCAAGAAAGGGTAGACCACCTTCCTTTTCTAACTCGATGGTGAATTTCGTCTTTCCATCGACCCTGTTCATCAAACCATGTTACCAAATAGCAAAGTAGTCGTCCATATAGCGAACTAATAATTTGTAAACTAAAAGTGCCTCTTGAATAAATCGTTCCTCAAATTGAACTGTGTAATAATTTGCTAAAATTGGTGAAAACCTCGTGTTTGTGCGTACGGTTTACTATTATAGGTAAAATATGTACAGTACATCGCTAGGTTTGTCATTTTCATTATTGATCCTTTACCTAACTTCGTGTTCATTAAAATATTCGCATGTTGGTCTAGTGTGGATTGCAGGGCCTCTATGGCATCGTCTACAGGAATGTTAGTGTACATAGACTAAACATCAAAGCTTACCAACAAATCCCAACTTTTTATCTCCAGATCGTTGACCAATTTAACTAATTCATAGGAATTTTTTGACTGAAGCCTTTCACGTCTCGTAAATTTGCTTTAACTGGTTACAAATAAATCGTGCTGTTTTATGCATCACGCTTCCCTTATTATTAACAATAATTCTAAGTGGAACTCCATCTTCATGCATTTTGAGTAGACTGTATGCATTCGGAAGCCTAGCATTTCGTTGAAGAAGCGTGTTCATCCTCCATTTCTCCAGTTCGCCGTTTGTTACACAATGCTGCAGGCAATCCATGAGTCTAGACTTAAGGGTTTCCGTAGAGTCTCTATTGATTACTTTGTATGTGATAGTGTCATCCAAAGCCTGCATCATTTTTTCCATATTCCTGAAATAATTAGAGCACTAATTTGCCCTTTTGATCTCATTAAAAAGGAAATTTGGCTGAATTCCCTTAGTGTATAAAACATAATGCTAAATGGACCACATCCATTAAAAAATGGAAAAGGATAAGCAACTGTCATTTTTGGAGTGCGAAGTCATTCCCTCCAACGAGACACTCAAGATAATATTAGTCAGAAACAAATCGTAAGGAGGAAAAATCTTCGATCTCCGGTCTCGGCAAAACTACATAAATAAAATCGACATAATGGAGGCGAATATTTATCAGAACTCAGAAGACTAACGAGTGTACATGTTGGAGCATCTTTCATTTCGTTTGAAGGGTATATGGGTTCAAAAATCGGAATTGGTCGAACACTTGGCTCGCACAGGACACCAAATAAATTGGTCTAATGTCAAAAGCTTAGTTGGATATGGAGACTATACCAACTAGTAAGCTAAGGATTAAGGAAGCGATAGACACCAACAAAACAGCCAACACCCTGAATAGAAAGAATAAGTATAGGAAGTTAAGCGGAAACTACTACTACTACTACTACTACTACTAATCCTAGTAACACTGCAGGATCAAAGTCATACGTGTTTTAGGTAAGGATGCACTTCATCTGTAGCCACTTAACGTAACTGATGATTAAATATAGAATAAAAGCATACGACATCTAGCCAAAACATGATATGCATAAATGGACCAAACTATACTATAAGGAGGTAGATTTGAAGCCGATCACCTTTCTTGCCTTCGTGTTTTTGGTGAATTATCGTTAAGCCTGGTGTCCTGCTCTGACGATGTCCATCACATGATGGACGAGAGCTCGGCAATTATTCATCGGGGTCACAGGGTCTACAACCACAGCTCCAAGGCAACCAACCCCACAGCCTTTGTTGGAACCAATTTACGAATCCCTTCCACTCGCCTCTTCAAATGAATTGAAAGGTACTCCATTATAAGCAATTTTGTCTTTTATCTCAACTTCGGTTTTTGGTTCACTTGAGTTGTTATTAACTTAAAGAATAAGAATTAGTTGGCTGACTGTAAAAATTGATGGCAATTAACTGAATTCACTGATTAGAAAATCTTTAATGTAGAAGAATTCATGGGTACAAAGTTCGACCATGCCCTCAATATAAAGACAAAAAGCTGTTTTAGGGCATTTTCCTGTTTGGTAGGGACGATGAACATAACAACCTCCCAGGGGTGTAAATTAGCCTTTTGACTAAACAGATCCGAGTATTAGCGTGTATTTCTATTAAAGCATACCGTATGCGGGTCCAGGGTCGCTGGGTAAGCAGCCGTAGAGGGACATGGTGAATTGGAGCTCTTGGACGTCTGAGTTGGCTTGCAAGACGGCAACTCTCACGCCTCTTGTAACGAATCTAAATGGAGCTTTAGCCTCACCCAATATTCCTGTAAAGATCACGCGTTGCTAAATGGTAGGAAAATAAACAGATGTAACTTCTTTTCATCTGTGAAGATGTAAATCTTTCCGAATGCTAATCAATAAAACAGAAGAATTTCAAGTCATATTATTGCGTTCACTAAGGATGTCTCAGGCACAACTTACTCACACTTAATCACCTGAATCACACAAACTCATAAAGCATTGCTAGGCAATCTAAACGCACAGTGAGTATTAAACGCAGTTGATGTGCTGAATCCTGTGTGAATCTTACAATATTATCAGAGATATGCAAAGGAGGAGAAGTAATGCATTTGTCGCGGGTACTCCATTTTGGGCACATAAAAAATTTGTAACATATTATCCTAATCAGGTAATAAGTCTCTTCTTATTTGGCCCGAAGCATCTGAGACCACAGGTATTCATGAATTGTAGCATAGTTTTGTATTCAGCAGGGTATGAATTTCTTCCTTGACTGGGGGAGTGGAAAATTTAATCGATTGCAGAATCAAAACAGAATAAAATGTGGTGATTCTATCCAGTTTTATTGCCTATCGAATTTAATTATTAAAGTAAATTAAATTATTAAATGCCTGAAGAAAAGTTGGGTCTCAAAGACTCTTTGCTTACTATTGCCTATTTTTCGTATGTAAGTAGAGTTTCGAGACTACCAGTAAATCAGTAATATGAGATGTATTCACCCTATTTTGTTTAAGGTAATAAAGGACTGATATTAGAATTTTCCCAAAATGATATGAGCAGAGCTGACGTTTTCAGTGACATTTCACATAGCCTCGCTTTCCCAAAAGTTGTTCTCATCCAGGCACCAGTGGACTGCAGTTTCGACCTCGCATAGGTCTTATCAACACCCCCACCGGGAGTCGAACCGTGACACTCGGTTACATTGCCACGAGTGTCCTTGATAACAACTTTTGGGAAAGCAACGCTATGTGAAATTGAATGGAAACGTCAGCTCTAATCATATCATTGTGGGAAAATTCTACTACCAGTCCTTCATCACCTTAAATCAAATAGGATGAATACATCTCATATTACTATTGTGACCAGAAGACGACGCTCTTGGTCAGCTCCTAATTGGCGTTACTGACAAACTCTCATTCGAGTCCATTACAAGGTGCTAAGCTTTAGTATTCCATATGCCGGACCTCGATACAGGATGGCATCATTCTTACCTCTATATTCATACTAACTTATGCAAAGTGCTCATAAGCCTATCCCTACATGCTGTATATATACCCTAAGTCTATGCATTTTTATTTAGTTTAATTCATACGCCACTCTAGTAGCATGTATGCGAGTTTCTGTTTTTTGCGAGTGTTTGTGTGCACCCTTGTGAACGTATATGTACGAAACCGGTAGTGATAATTTAAAGTAATTTGAACAAAAGGTAAAATACATCTCCTATTCTCAAGATTTAATGACTCCCATCCTCATTTTTTTAAAGTAATCACTCCTGTTATATAAAGTTGAATACAAGTCCGGCTAAGTTAATGAGTTTCTTATCTGCTGCGTGTGTGTATATATATATATATATATATATATATATGTGTGTGTGTGTGTGAGAGAGAGAGAGATAGAGGGTGAACTAAGACGTAGAGAAAGTGTGTAGTACCATTAGCATTAAAAAACTAGTCGAGTTACTTCCTTTTGCAAGGCGGTCCAACATCCTCTCTATCCTTAAGCCTTTCAGTTTTGGGTTTGACCTCGTTATTTCAACATTCCCAGAAATTTCGCCATCAGTAAGAGGCGTCATCTTTTGCACAGAGTTACAATCTACCAAAGTGACAAGTGAAGGCAATCCCCGTTATGGCATCACTCTTCGCCCATAAATTTTATGTCCTACCTTCTAGTGCTGCATCCCATTCTCGCAACCCCACTCAATATCACCCATTTTCCAGCACCGGACTGTTGATTTGGTACACTCCACATGATGTGGGGTTGAGAGATAGAGATGCAGCACTAGAAGTTAGGACAAAAAGAATAGAGGCGAGGAGTAAACTCAGAACGGTCGAACGGAAAAGTTGTCAAAAAGCATGCCTTTACTTGATACTTTTCTAAGTTATAACTCTGTGTTAATGACGTCGCATCTCATTAACAATGCCAGCAAAAAGTCTAAGAATTTATCGAGTCCACGATCTGATGATGGAAACTATCATGAATACTTGAGGGCAGAGGACACAGGACTAAGTCCTTTTCACATGGTATCCCTGTCGCTCCAACCAATTCGCGAAAGTGAGGTTAAACC